CAAGCGTGAGCCACCACACCTGGCCGGTTCCAAATTTTAACTTGCATTGTCACCCAAAGGACTTGTTAAAACACAGATTGCTGGGACCCATCCCAAGTGTTTCTGATTCTTTTGGCCCAGGGTGAAGCCCTAAAATTTGCACTGTTAACAATTTCTCAGGTGGTGCTAATGATGCTGGTTGGGGACCACACTTGATAACCATTGATCTAAAGTTGAAAGTTCTAGACTCAGATGATTCTAGACTCATTATTCTGAATGTAGATGTTCTGGACTAGTGGTTCACCAAGTACAGTCCCTCGACCGGCCACATCAGCGTTACCTAGGAGCATCTTAGAAATGCAAAAGCCATCAGCAACCCAGCCCTCTTGGGTCAGAAATGCATGTTGGCAAGATTCCCGGGGGACTGTCTGCACATTAAAATCAAAGAAACACTATTCCACACTGTCATTCCTTGAGGTCAGGGTTTTGTTGATCTTTGCATCACCAGCACTGAGCATAGTTCCTGGTACATAGTAGGTGCTCAACAAATAGGAGGACTAGAAAACAGTAGGCGCTCAACAAATGATTTCAGGAGGAAAGAATATTTTTCTTTTTCTTTTTTTTTGAGACAAGAGTCTCACTCTGTTGCCCAGGCTGGAGTACAGTGGTGTAATCAGCTCACTGCAACCTCCTCCACCTCCCACATTCAAGCGATTCCCTTACTTCAGTCTCCTGAGTAGCTGGGATTACAGGTGCCCATCATCATGCCTGGCTAATTTTTGTATTTTTAGTAGAGACGGGATTTCACCATGTTGGCCAGGCTGGTTTTGAACTCATGACCTCAGCCCACCCTCCTGCCTTGGCCTCCCAAAGTGCTAGGACTATGGACTACAGGCATGAGCTACTGAACCTGGCCAGCTAGTAAATTTATTTCTCGTTATTCCTTCAAAGAATGGGGCCCAGTCCACATCCTTAAACCTGACTCACTATTTCAAAGCTGCCTCATAAGGGAAGAAAAGATCAATAAGGCAAATTCTGAGACAGGAGATCAGCAGGTTTTCTTCAAATGACAGCTCCCCATGCAGAAGCCCCTTAACTAACAGATCTTTTCCCCTACATCCATGGTCTCCACACCTTCCGGACTTTAACCTTGGGGCTTCTGAGATCAGGCTATTCTAGGCTTTCTTTCTCTTTTTTTTTTTTTCAATTGAGACGGAGTTTCGCTCTGTCACCCAGGCTGGAGTGAAGTGGCACGGTCTCAGCTCACTGCAACCTCCGCCTCCTGGGTTCAAGCTGATTCTCCTGCCTCAGCCTCCCAAATAGCTGGGATTACAGGTGCCCGCCACTTCATCCAGCAGATTTTTGTATTTTTAGTAGGGATGGGGTTTCACCATGTTGGCCAGGCTGGTCTTGAACTCCTGACCTCAGGTGATCCACCCAACCTCAAGCTCCCAAAGTGCTGGGATTACAGGTGTGAACCACCGCACCCAGCCTATTCCAGGCTTTCTAACTGAACCCTGAAGATGGCGGCCTGGCCCAAGGGTGTCCTAGGTACAGAAAGGAGGAATTGTGATCAGCTAGTACAATAAACCACTCCCAGTGTCTGCTATATTTCTCTAGGCTCTTGTTTCTTGACACAACTCCATCTACCTCCAGTCCTCCTTAGCATCTTCTCTTGATCCAAGTCTCCAGAAATCAGATGAAATCACAGCATTTTTGAATGGAAGAGAACCAAAAAGATCTATATATAGAGAGAGAGAGTGGGAAACATCAATATTCCAAGTGATAAAATAGTCTGGTCACTGAGAAGGTTAGTAGGAGGTGGTACTCAGCTCTCCTGATCCCTGACTCAAATTTCCAGACACAAGATATGACCACAGTCCAGTAGCCACTTGCTCCTAAAGTTCTCAAGATACCTGATCCAAGAGACATCAGGTTAAAATGGAAAAATAAAAATGATCATGGCTGAGCATGGTGGCTCATGCCTGTAATCCCAGCACTTTGGGAGGCAGAAGAGGGTGGATAACTTGAGGTCAGGGGTTCAAGACCAGCCTGGCCAACATGGTGAAACTCCGTCTCTACTAAAAATACAAAAACAAAAACAAACAAACAAACAAAAAATTAGCTGAGCATGGTGGCGCGCACCTGTAGTCCCAGCTACATGGGAGGTTGAGGTGGGAGAATTGCTTGAGTCTGGGAGGCAGAGGTTGCAGTGAGCCAAGACCATGCAACTGCACTCCAGCCTGGGTGACAGAGTGAGATCCTGTCTCATAAATAAATAATCAGCATTTCCTTCTCTGCATGAGACTCGTGCACAAATGCTTCAGTTTCTAGGTAACTACAGCTATCCTGCCAGACTAATATGGTGAAGGGAGGGTTAGTGGAGACCCCTGGAGACAGCTGAGGGCCATAGCTCAGGACTGAGTTTGACAGCAGGGAAAACAGCCTGATACGGTTTGGCTCTGTGTCCCCACCCAAATCTCATGACGAATTGTAATCCTCAGTGTTGGAGGAGGGGCTGGGTGGGAGGCGATTGAATCTCTTTTTTTTTTTTTTTTTTTTGAGATGGAGTTTCGCTCTTGTTACCCAGGCTGGAGTGCACTGGCGTGATCTCGGCTCACCGCAACCTCCGCCTCCTGGGTTCAGGCAATTCTCCTGCCTCAGCCTCCTGAGTAGCTGGGATTACAGGCACGCGCCACCATGCCTAGCTAATTTTTTGTAGTTTTAGTAGAGACGGGATTTCACCGTGTTGACCAGGATGGTCTCGATCTCTTGACCTCGTGATCCACCCGCCTCAGCCTCTCAAAGTGCTGGGATTACAGGCGTGAGCCACCGCGCCCGGCTGCGATTGAATCTTGAGAGCGAATTTCCCCTTTGCCGTTCTCATGATGGTGAGTGACTTCTCATTAGACTTGGCTGTTTAAGAGTGTGTGGCACCTTCCCCTTCCCTCTCTTCCTCCTGCTCCAAACATGTAAGATGTGCCTGCTTCCCCTTGACCTTCTGCCATGATTGTAAGTTTCCTGAGGCCTCCCTAGCCACACTTCCTGTATAGCCTATGGAGCCTGTATAGCCTTCCTGTATAGTCAATTAAATCTCTTTTCTTTATAAATTACCCAGTCTCAGGTAGTTCTTTAGAGCAATGTGAGTTTATTTGATCTCTTGGAGTACTGGTGTTTCTATAAATAGACAGGTAGATAGATATAGATAGAATGGATGGATAGATAGATAGATACGACAGACCATTTTGGATATTAGTCTGTGGACTAATACACAGCCCCAGATCTAAAATTCTGCCCCACATATTCCTCAGTTGGGAAAATCTTGCCAGGCCCACCTCTGAACCCCTTGGACACAAACATTGTAATTTCTTTATGAAACATATAATACCAGTTTATTGTGGGGGGAAATTCACCCCTTAAACTCTCCTTCTTCTGCCCAGAGATAATTTCTGCTGTTTTGTTACCCTTTATTGACTCTTTCAAGATTTTTCTGAGACTACATATGATTTTTTTTTTTTGAGACAGTTTCACTCGTGTTGCCCAGGCTAGAGTGCTGTGGCGTGATCTCGGCTCACTGCAACCTCCGCCTCCTGGGTTCAAGCGATTCTCCTGCCTTAGCCTCCTGAGTAGCTGGGATTACAAGCCACCCACTACCATACCTGGCTAATTTTTGTATTTTTAGTAGACACAGGGTTTCACCACATTGGCCAAGCTGGTCTCGAACTCCTGACCTCAGGTGATCCACCTGCCTTGGCCTCTCAAAGTGCTGGTATTACAGGTGTGAGCCACCATGCCTGGCCAATTATTTTTATATAATAAAATCATACTTTACATATTGTTTTGGAACCTGCTTTATTCATTGAAAAATATTTCATGTAAATGTTTCCGAGTCAATAAATATGTATGATTTTAGTGCTTCTTTATTCTTTTAAATCGAGGAATAATAATTTCTTTAAGCACTATCTTTTTACTAGACACTTGGGTTATGTCCACTACAAAAAAAATTCACTGCAATGAGCATCCTTTTTTATACGTCATGGAGCACTTGCCTAATTATTCCCTTAAGACAAATTCTTACAGGAAGAATTGATGCATCAAAAGACATTAGCATTTTTCAAGCATTTGGTCCATATGTCAAATTGTCCCCAGCATGGCTGCACTCTCAGAAAGTGAGGTCCTTGTGGGAAAGCTCTCCCAGAGCAGATGGGAGCTGAGTTGGAAGTTGAAAGATATTGAAATAGAGACAGAGGCAGCTGTGAGAAGCAGTATGGTATAGCAGGGCTCTACTGCTATACCATACTAAAAATACAAAAACAAAAACAAACAAAAAATTAGCCAAGCGTGGTGGTGCGCACCTGTAACCCCAGCTACACGGGAGGTTGAGGTGGCAGTATAGCAGGGCCATACTGCTGCTCACAGCTGCCTCCGTCTTTACCAACTTGAACTTCAGTGGCAAATGTAGCTCCCTCCTCACAAACTGTGTGACCTTGGGCAAATTACTTACCCTCTCTGAGCCTCTCTCTTTCTTCATCTGTAAATGGAGCTATGACTACCACCCTTCCACTATTGTAAGAATTGGAGACAATGTACATTGAAACCTTGCAGAGCTGTGCACTGAGTTTTTCCTGAATCGATGGAATAAATTAATGGTTGAATGGATGAAGGGATATGTTTTTTGAAAAAGAAAAGGAAAAGGAAGGAGGAAGCAAGGGAATGGGATGAAAGTAAAGACAAAGTGTATTTGTTGAGAAGTTCACAACTGCCTTGGGAGAGGGTGGGTCACCCTGGGAAGTTCTAGAAGGAAAGGAGAGACAGGGATGGGCCAAACTGAGCAGACGTTTTCTCCGTCACAACTTGTTCCTTATTCTCTGGGTACTGGTGGCTGGTGAGCAAAGGTGTCCCTGTTCCATGATGCCCCTAAAGCCCAGATATGAGCTGTCCCCTCCCAGAGGCAGAATCCCACACCCCAGCCTGGGCTGAGCATTGCAGTGGGCTCCATCAACCCCACCTGAGCCCGTTACCTTGACGAGTCTGCCACAGTCCAGTGAAGGGACCCACACTGCCCGCTAGCTCACACTTCTGAGCCCATGGGCCATTGTCTCCTAGAAACCAGAAAAAGCATGATGGTCACCAGGCTGGTTGGACACTTTTGCTGACTTTCCCACTCAGGCCCTACATCCCTGTGCACAGCAGGGACTAGACAGAAAAAGGACTTATCGAGATAAATATGGGCTGGGCGCGGTGGCTCACGTCTGTAATCCAGCACTTTGGGAGGCGGAGGGAGGCAAGTGAATCACTTGAGGTCAGGAGTTCCAGACCAGCCTGGCCAACATGGTGAAACTCCTTCTCTACTAAAAATACAAAAATTAGCTGGGCGCGGTGGCAGGCACCTATAATCCCAGCTACTCTGGAGGCTGAGGCATGAGAATCACTTGAACCCAGGAGGTGGAGGCTGCAGTGAGCCAAGATCGCTCAGCCTGGGTGACAGAGCAAGACTTCATCTCAAAAAATAAATACATACATACATACAAATATGATTCCCACCCATGAAGAACAACCCTTGGTATGAGGCCTGTCTCTACTGGGCTTTCAGACACGGGTGGTCTTTTTCTGTCCCAACCCAGCCCCATCGTGAGTCTGTTGCCTTCTATTCCCTTGCCCTTTTGTAAGGTTTCAACAGTCTCATTGCCACTGTCATCAACCTCAGCCCAGCGACTGTTTATTCAGCATCTATTATATGCTCAGTATTTCACATACATCATCTCCTAATACTCCAGCATGCTATGGAATAGATTCTGTTATTAGCTTAATTTTGTAGATGAGGAAAAGGAGGCTTGGAGCAATAGTAGAGTATAGATTCAAACCCTATAGGATTTGGTTTAGGTCTCTACTTGACCCAAAAGCAGTGCCCCTCCCTTTTTTTTTTAGACAGAATCTCACTCTGTTACCCAGGCTGGAGTGCAGTGGCATGATCTCAACTCACTGCCTCTGCCTCCGCCTCCCAGGCCTAAGTGATTCTCCCATTTCAGCCTCCCAAGTATTGGGACTCCAGGCGTGCACCAATACGCCTGGCTAATTTTTGTATTTTTAGTAGAGGCAGTGCTTTGTCACATTGGCCAGGTGGATCTGAAACTCCTGACCTCAGGTGATCCACCTGCCTCAGCCTCCCAAAGTGCTAGGATTACAGGCATGAGCCACCATGCTTGGCAAAAGCAGTGCTTTTAACCACTGCTGTGGTTAAACACGCAGTGCATGTGTGTGGCTTTTAAAGAGGCCGCTAGTGCAGACCACTAAGGCCACTCAGCCAAAAGACGTGATACAGGGAGTGGCAGCAACCAGAATTTTGGGGACCGGGGAGGATGGAGAAGAGGAAAATCTTAGAAGTGCTCAAGGACGACACAAGCTCACAATGTCAACATCATTCAGTGGCAATTAAGAGCAATACCCAGATAGCCGCAATCGACACACAAGGGGCCAGCAAGGGGCCTGCTGTGTGTGTGCAAACCTTCCCAGGGACTTGGCCTTGGGGGCCCCAACGGACAGGTGCTCAGCATTCAGGCCGGCAAGCCTTACCTGGGCCTCAAGTTCAAAGCAAGCCCCCTGACCTATGAAAGAGGATCTCAGGGCCAGACTCTGCTCTTCACAGGGAATGTGCAAGGTTATCTATTAAAAGGTAGTTAGGCTGGCTGGCTTTTATTACTTTACCTGTAAACCAGAGGAATGTGTTTCCCTTCGCTGTTCGGTCAACTTTGTCCTTGATCTGGCCCACCAGACCGTCCATCTCCCGAAGCCCTGCACCATACAACCTTCCGCCCTGTGGGGCTGCTGGTAGCTGAGTCACAGGTAAGGGCACGTGCATGTGGGCCAGACCTACGTACAGCAGGAAGGGCCTCCCGCTGGTGCTGAAACAAGAGAACAAGAGGTGACTCTGCAGAAGGCTCTCCTGGCTCGTCTGGGGCCTCAGGGATCCTCCCTCTCCTCCAGGAAAATCCCCAAAGCTCCTTCTGCCCCATGGGCTCAGGAAGGACACATTTAATCCTAACCTTCCAAGAAATTATGGAAGCAATCTGGTTAGCCAATTAAAAATGAGAATCACAGGGTGCGGTGGCTCATGCCTGTAATCCCAGCACTTTGGGAGGTCAAGGTATATGGATCACCTGAGGTTAGGAGTTCGGGACCAGCCTGGCCAATATGGCAAAACCCCATCTCTACTAAAAATATAAAAGTTAGACGGATGTGGTGACACACGCCTATAGTCCCAGCTACTCGGGAAGCTAAAGCAGGAGAATCACTTGAACCTAGGAGGCAGGGGTTGCGATGAGCCAAGATTGCACCACTGCACTCCAGCCTGGGTAACAGAGTGAGACTGTCTGAAAAAAAAAAGAGAGAGAGAGAGAGAGAATCATTACAACAATAGCCACTACTCCTTATCATTTACTGAGATAAATTTACCAGACATGGGACTCACATTGTCTAGGTTCACCCTCATCGTAATCCCCAAGATCCCTTTTGCAGATGAAGAATCAGAAGCTTAGAGATTAAAGGACTTACCCCAGGGTGTGCAATTAGCCACATGTCTGAATCTTGCTCTTAACTGCCGCACTCTAAAGCCTGAGGCACACATACTTTTAAATTTTATTTTGCAGCATCCAGACTATCCTGCCCATTCTCAGCCTCTCATTCCATTTTTTTTTTTTTTTTTTTTTGAGATAGTCTTAATCTTGTCACCCAGGCTGGAGTGCAGTGTCACAATATCAGATCACTGCAACCTCTGCTTCCTGGGTTCAAGCATTTTCTCCCGCCTCAGCCTCCTGAGTAACTGGGATATTAGGTGCCCGCCACCATGCCCAGATAATTTTGTATTTTTAGTAGAGATGGGGTTTTGCCATGTTGGCCAGGCTGGTCTCAAACCCCCGATCTCAGGTGATCTGCCCTCCTCCGTCTCCCAAAGTGCTGGGATTACAGGAGTGAGCCACTGCACCTGGCCAGCCTTGTTCCTAAGAGATCAATGGTTGTCTCGAGTTTTGATCACGGGAATTCCAAGGACACATATGACCACCAGATAACATCTAGATCAGGGCTCTGTCAGAGCCCTGTACAGTCTGCCACCTCTGTACTAATCTTGATTCCCTTGAAAGTGTAGAATAAAAGGCTTGGAGGGAGCTGGGGTAGCCTCCAAGCAAAGGTCCCGGCCCCACTCCCAGGCAAGAGCAGCTGTAGAATCACAGTGGCAGCAGGGACCTTCAGGGGGTCCCGCCCCCACAGGCCCATCCACAGGGGGTCTTTCAGAGGACAGCAAGAAAGGGTAGTGAGAGAGCACAGTCAACCACATATAGAGGATGTGGTAGATGCACACGCCTTTCATGCTCAGAGATTCAGTTTGCCCCAGGGTTCTCCTTAGCTCACCTGGTTTACACCACCTCTAGTTGGTCTAGAGTCAACTGTGCTCTCAAACCCCCTGCATCCTGGCTTCTGGGGTCTGCTGCCTGGGACTGTGCTTACACTCAGTTCTCTTTGATGGGCATAAAACCCTGGACACAAGCCCCAAGACAGGGGCCTCTGCCTTCCCCGTTTAAATCCACACTTTCCCTGCAACATTGCTATAGCTGTGTTGTTCAGAGCAGCAGCCACAAGCCACGTGTAGCTACTTAGATTTCAATTAATGAAAATTAAACCATATTGAAAATTCCATGGCTCACATGCTAGCACATGGGTGAACCTGGAGAGTATTATACTAAGTGAAATAGTCCAGTCACCAAGAAACAAACACTGTATGATTCCACATGTATGACCTACCCAGAATAGTCAAATTCAGAGAGAGAAGGTAGGATGGTGAGTGGTGGGGAACTGCAGGGAAGAAAAACTGAGGAGTCTATGTTTATTTTTCTGTTAGAAAAAAATGAAAAAGTTCTGAAGATGGATAGTGGTAATGGTTGCAAAACAAGGTGAATGTTCAATGCCACAGAACTTCGCATTTAAATGGTTAAGATGGTAAAATTTTATGATTATATATATCTGTATATACACATATCCACAAATACACACACACACACGCGCGCGCACACACACACACACACACACACACACATATTTCTAGCCACATTTCGAATGCTCAGCAGCAGCAGCAGGTGGCTAGAAGCCAGCAGCTTGGACAGTGCAGACAGAACACATCTCCAGTCTTGCTGAGTTTTTTTTCACACAGCACTGATTCGCAGTGCCTGGGCCCACTCTCTCAGGGATGGTCATGTACGGTTGGGCAGGTTGTGGCGTGTAAGAGGACATCCTGCTGAGTGAATGGGTCCTTATCTCCAGCTTACAATCTACTGGCTGGGTACGCTGCACAGAGCAGTTCCTAGCCAGAGGTGGTATCTTTTTAAAAAATTTTCAGGTAGATTCCACATTGCAGTGGTGCCTAGAGCTGGCTCAAATTTCAAGAATTTTTTAAACCAGTTGTTAAACATGGCCGTTGCTAAAAATTGAATTATATAAGTTTATAATTAAATAATTTTTTTTTTTTTTTGCCAGGCACAGTGGTTGATGCCTATAATCCTAGCACTTTGGGAGGCCGAGGCAGGTGGATCACGTGAGATCAGGAGTTTGAGACCGGCCTGGCCAACATGGCGAAACCCCATCCCTACTAAAAAATACAAAAATTAGTCAGGTGTGGTGGCAGGCGACTGTAATCCCAGCTACTCGGGAGGCTGAGGCAGGGAAAACTGCTTGAACCCAGGAGGGGAGGTCACAGTGAGCCAAGATTGTGCACTGCACTCCAGCCTGGATGACAGAGCAAGACCCTAAAAAGTCTCAAAAAAATAAAGAAAAAAATAAATTATATTTTTAAAAGATAGTACATCTCACCATTTATCACTTCCTAATTATTACATTCTACTATTAGGCATGCTCATGGGATTATTTACATCTGTGGTATCTGTGTGGTGGAAATAACACACAATGGCTTGCTACTGCCCATCATTTCTCAAAGCCACATTCAGTGACATCTCCATAGCTTGAAACTAGCCACGGTGAGAGTGAGTATTGATACCCCAGGAAGTGGCAAATGCTACCGATTGTGGCTGTTTTCTTAGAAACCAGTTCACCATGCGTATGGACAAGGGGTGGTTCCACGGTCTACCCTTCATCACCCATCATCATCCTCTAAACTCTCACCCACTATTCACAGTCACATTAGCACCCTAAGCCAGAGGCTTACAGAGACGGGCAGTTATGAGAGACGGCAGAGCACAGGCTGGTGAAGAGCTTAAGAATCTTGCATCCAAACGCCTGGATTTTTTATTATTTCAAGACTAATTAGCCCTGGACAATTAACTTAACCTCTGTCATCTACAAAATGGGGACAATCAGACCTCCCAACAGAGTTGTTGTATAACTTCCCACACTCAGCATCTAGTAAATGGTAGCTTTCTGGTTTTTTGTTTTTGAGATGGAGTCTCACTCTGTCTTCCAGGCTGGAGTGCAGTGGTGTGATCTCAGCTCACTACAACCTCTGCCTCCTAGGTTCAAGTGATTTTCTTGTCTCAGCCTCCTGAGTAGCTGGGACTACAGGCATGCGCCACCACGTCTGGCTAATTTTTAATAAAGATGAAGTTTCAAAATGTTGACCAGGCTGGTCTCAAACTCCTGACCTCAAGTGATCTATCTGCCTGCCTTGGCCTTCCAAAGTGCTGGGATTACAGGCACGGGCCACCATGCCCGGCCACTTTCTTGTTAATAATGTTGAATACATGCCAGCAGTAGTACGTATAAATGGTGCCCAAGGATGTACCTCTTTCTCTGCATCCTGATGCCAGGCTAGATTCCAAAAGATGACATCAGGCAGAGCCTACACAGACCCGTCCCCTGAGGCAACTCTCCCGCAAGCTACCTCTTCATTATACACTTGTGCTGAATAGAAAATAGAGTGGGGATACCTTGTGCTTAAAAAAAAAAATGCTGATTATAACACAGTGTGACTCCACTTTTGTTTTTTAAAACATGTTCATTTCAACTATACCTTAATAAAACCAGGAAACATGTTTATGCACCAGCATAGAATGAGGCTAGAAGAACATACTCAGCTCTATTAAAACAGATGATCCTCATGCTTATAATCCCAGAACTTTGGGAAGCCAAGGTAGACAGATTACCTGAGGTTAGGCGTTCAAGACCAGTTTGGCCAACATGGTAAAACCCTGTCTCTACTAAAAAATTAGCTGGGCGTGGTAGCCTGTGCCTGTAATCCCAGCTACTCAGGAGGCTGAGGCAGGAGAATCACTTGAACGCGGGAGGCAGAGGTTGCAGTGAGCCAAAATTGCGGGGCTGCACTCCAGCCTGGGTGACAGAGCGAGACTCTGTCCCAAAACAACAACAACAAAACACACACACACACACACACACACACACACACACACACACACACACACAAAACAACAGGCTATTTCTGGGATGTGGCATTCAGGGTGATTTTGTTTGTTTGCCTGCTTGTCTCAGTTTGCCAAGATTTCTAAAGGGAACACATGTTATTTGTGGGGGAAACAACTGGAATGGCGACTAGAAAAGGGAAAACACAACCAACGTGAGGGATCCAGGTTCAGATCCAAAGACCACAGGCACCCCCAACCCATCTTTCTCCTTTTTCCTGTTTAAATGCAGAGATGAATCTCTAGTGAGTGAGAGAATAAACTAACGAGTAGCGATGCAATCATATCGAACGTCTCCCCCAGGGCTGTGCTCTCCGCCTCGCATGGTCATCACACACAGCCGGGTGAGAGGCGGGATGCAGAGCGGGCAGCACCACCTCGGGGGCACTTAGACAAGCACAGGGGCCAGCACTGAAGGCAGGCAGCGAATCAAGTAAAAGAGAATTCTGCAGATCCCAGGGGTGAGCTCAGGAAGGCTGAAACAT